GCACAAATATATGCAATAAAGTAGCACTTATGGAAATAGGAAAATGGGACAAAGGAGAAATGAAGGGAGGAAAGTTTAGATGAATTTAGGAGAGAAGCCAGAATTTAAAGTTCAGCTTGTCAGGCTCATCACACTTTTTTGCTTATACATTAATTCCTTTGCTTTTCAGTCCACCTGCAGGGTGAGTAAAGCTTCTAGTGAAGAAAAGACTGGTGCAGAAACCTTAGTCTGTTCTGATTTCCTAGCTACTCTAGTCTGAACCTGGAGAAAACTAAAATTCTTCTGAAGCTTTAAAAAAAAAAAAAAAAGCGTTTGTCATAGGCTTTTGGTAAACTCTGACTCACTTCCTTGGTGGAAAAAAAGCCGTGTCCGTAGAGCTGGTACCACCAGAAGAACGGGCTTCTGGCTCTGTTGTGCTGCTCTGGGGAGGGCCCAGGAATCTGAAGCCAGGGACAGATGAGAGAGGAGAGAGACAGGCGACAGTGACCGAGCACGCATTCACGGGAAATTGTCCCTTCCCCCAAACGCAGTGCAGATATTTGCTCCCCAGCAGAAGTGAGCCACAAGCCAGTGGAAAGTCTCTTCTACTTGATAGTGGTAATCACCGTTCTCTTCATTCCACAGTTCAGCAACTCACCATGTTCTGGCTCAGTCCTTTTTTTTTTCTTTTTTTAATGTACAGCATGAGTTTGATGCTTAACAGCCCAGTTGACTGAAATATGTTCCGGGGAGTCATAGTTCAGAAAGACATCAAATTATAGAAATCCATGCAGAAGTGAGGAAGAGTCACCCTACACCAGCACATTAGGAGCTACTCAACGACTTCAGCGAGAGGCTAAATCCACCAGTACCATGCGAGAGGGAGAACATCACCCCGCCCAGAGCAAACTCAAGACTTTTCCGAGTCTAGTTACCAATTAGACGTCGCTTCTCCTTTTGCGAAATACTCAGGAACTTAGTCACCTGTGACATTTCTGGTCACTGCTTGATTATGTGTAAAATTCGTCCAGTTATTTAGGCTGACTGGGTTGAAGGAGGATTATCTTAATGAGAACGTGAAGCTTGGAGAGAAGTTTTCAAGGAAATTGTTCACTGCTGTCGGGTCCAAAAACAGAACAAAGAAGTGATGTTCAACCACCAAAAGTAACTAAGATACGGTCTTTGCCAGCAAAAAGTAGTGTTCATTATTTCAAATGGGGGTTTTGGTGGGGGGAGGTTGTCAATGATGGGGAGGTTGTCAATGATGGGAAGGGGGAAGACAGAGATCAAATGAAGAGAGAAACTAGAAAAACTATTTACATTAAAAAAAATATCTCTCCCACAGACTTAATACATCTAACACCAAATTAACTTAAGAAGCAATAATCTCTCATAGGCTTCTTTTGAAGAAAGATACATCTGAAACGATACTATGTTTCCATGTCTATGATGTTAGGAGTCCTCGCTGGAGAAAGAGTTCATACCACAACACATCACGTCAGCCTGTAAGGCACAGCGACTATTTCTTTAGTCTTTGATAAGACTTCATTTTCATAAACAAATAAGGAGATGTGATCCACTGATTCTTTTCTCCGTCAGTGGTTCCCTGCCTCTTGCCCAGCAGAGTCAACCTTTTCTCCCCCACCTTTTTTTCTTCTCCTCCCCCGTCCCCCCGGCCCGAGGTAAAGGCACACAATGAAGCCACTGATTTAGCCTGAAGGTGTTTAATTATTTCAGTGTCTCCCAGTGGCCTCCCAGGCAGACACGAAGCCATCCACCTTAGCTGGTTCTCTCTCGTTCGGGCCAGCGTGCACTCCGCTTCCATATGAAGACTCATGGGAAGATGCCAGTAATCTCTATTTTATGTCCTAATTATACCACCACGGCTCCCTTTGATGACTTGGAAGTTTAAAGTATTTATCTGGAATGCACCTTAGAAAAATTCCAAAGCAGGAAAAAAAAACAAAAAAAAAGCCCTCTGGCAGCCTTGCACATAAAGCTGAAAACTTTCACAAGTCAGCAGCATTTCACAAAACGAAGAGTCCACCCTCACGGCAAGCTACACAAGAAACAAAATCTGCACAAATCATGACTTCCCCTACTTCCATTGCCAAGCACCTGCAGGACTAAAAAAAGAATCATACCCAGTTCTCTTCTGAGAAAGTACAAGCTTTCCAGCAGATGCATTAAGTGAGATTAAACAACAACAACAACAACAAAAACCCGTATGGTTGAAGGGGGAGAAAATGTCAGGACCATTAAAAATGTATTTTCCAAGGGCGCCTGGGTGGCTCAGTTGGTTAAGCGACTGCCTTCGGCTCAGGTCATGATCCTGGAGTCCCAGAATCGAGTCCCGCATCGGGCTCCCTGCTTGGCGGGAAGCCTGCTTCTCCCTCTGACCCTCCCCCCTCTCATGCTCTCTCTCTCTCATTCTCTCTCTCAAATAAATAAATAAAATCTTTTAAAAAAAATGTATTTTCCAAATAATCAATGCCCCCAATTTAAAAACTTTTCTTTAGAGTCAATAAATACTTTGACCCTGTGGCCGGGATTATCAATACTTTCCTTTAAGCAAAACAAGTTCCCAAGCATGTACTACGTGTGTATAAAACACTAGCAAGCACACTAATTTGGAAATTCAGACGCAGCCTGCCCTGTTGACCGGGAGCCTGCCTCTTAACTTCTCATCACCAGCCTCTATCTTGGCCTAAAATTGCCAGAGATGGGCTATCCCGGCCCAGCACATCCCATATCCTCCCCCAAAGCCCATCACAACTTCATTTTCATTTCTGATTCCCCTTGCCCATCTTAGCTCCTCTGCCATCACCAATCTCCCCCTAATTTATTGTTTCAATATTCCCTCAATGAACTCCAAGTACTCACTGATATCCTTTTGCTTTATTCTAACTTTGCTCTATCAGATGCTATATTAACTCAAACAGTGGGCGGCTGGTTGATACTTGGAAATTTTCATTGCTATGATATTTGTCAGGATGTTTGACTTGTAATCCCAAGTTAAGAAAACATAATTATTTATTTATGCCCTGCTTCATTTCAGGAAAAAATGTAAGGTTCCTGGCACAAATATATGCAATAAAGTAGCACTTATGGAAATAGGAAAATGGGACAAAGGAGAAATGAAGGGAGGAAAGTTTAGATGAATTTAGGAGAGAGGCCAGAATTTAAAGTTCAGCTTGTCAGGCTCATCACACACATGGCTGGATTAGATTCTTAGCTTTTGAGCTTCTTAGAAGCCAGTGGAAAGACAGGGACTCACTTACATCGGTGGCTGAACATTATGGTTCACTGGTCAAACCTGGCCTACATTCTGTTTGGGTTAAGTAAAGTTTTATTGGAACACAGCTACACCTATTCATTTTGGTATCATTTATGGTTGCTTTTCGCCATATGGTGGCAGTCAAGCAGCTGTTACAGAGACCTGCAAAACCTGAAGTGTCTACTATCTGGCCCTTTACAGAAAAAAGTTTGCAGATGACCAGGTTACGTGATTCTGTGCAGACAAGATCAAAGCAAAGCAGTTTCCTGGGATAAGCACACCCTTTGACAAAGAACATTCTAGTATAAAGCGCTCACTATGCAATCTCGTGAAAACACATCCTTAGCTTCATTTTTCACAGTACACACAGCAATGGGTTTCAGGGCCGATGGCATGATGTCACAACACACATCAGTGAAACAGTCCCATGTGAGGCTGCAACCAGGCAGGTCAGGAGAAGTTCTCCCCTGCTCTGGCTTAATTCAGGGAGAGTTGCAGAGATGGCAAGTGCCAGCTACGCGTAGCCCTCCCCCCTCCTTCCTTATCGCAGGCAGACGAGGCCAAGGGCTCCGGTTGCTCTCCCCCAGGGAGCCCCGAAGTGTCCTCCGAAGTGTTCTCTGCGTTCTCTGGCAGCCTCGGCCAACCATTAGCGGTTGGCATGCAAGATAAAACTGGTACCCATCTTTGCTTCAAGGCGGTTTTCCATCAACACTCCGCCTCTGAGTCTGAGAAGCGCTGGGCTGGGACGCGGAGGCAACGCTCCCTGCCCCATTCCTGAGCGGAGCTATTCTATTCTGTCGACGCGCAGAGCCGTCTCCAGTAATGGCATCCATGAGGATGCACTGGCCTGACGTCGTCCTGGGGGAGCCAGGAGCCTCGCAAGGACGGCTGCCTGAGAAAACCCACCATGTCGGCACATGCGTGCCGCAGGCGAGGGTCTGAGAGCACGGCCAGGTTTCTCCTCCAGAAAAGAGCGTGGAGCCTCCTCCTGTGCACGCATGGACCGCACGCACGGACCACAGGGCGGGGGGCGAGGCCAAACAAGGGCACTGTCATTCTGTCTGGGAACGTTCAAGCCCCATGCCCATGTTGTTTGTTCCAAGAAACAAAACCTCCAAACAGCCATCACCCAGACCCACTGACCTTGAACACACTCCTAAAGAACCCCTTCCTGCCGGAAGCAAGGATTCCAAAATAAATGCAAATAAACTGGAAACGGTGATTTCCAAGAAAGTACAATTCAGTTCAGTGTTGGAAGAGGAAGACAGAACCGCCAACTGTAGATTTGGAAGAACACATCTGTCACACCTTTCTCTATGCTCATTCCTCCTTTGTGACTAATAAAACTATGTTACAAATTGATTCTACTTCTATTCTCTACAATCAGGAACAAAAATTCAGGTTACCCGAAAAGTGTTACTGAGTCTTTAATAGGCAAATCTAAGAGAATCAGAACTACTGGGCATTGTCTACATGTGATTCCTACCCATGTTGTCAGAAGGCAAGAAGCAGGCAAGATATATTATAAATCATTTTACGTTATTCCTAACATCTTTCCACAAGGTAATTAAAAAGTATAAAACCAGAAAGTAAGTAAAACATCAAGGCCTACAACCTTCGTCCTCCCTGTGAGTTTGTGGCTGTTTTAGTAAACACCAACTACAAAGAAGTGAGATATAAGCATGCCTGACAAGGGAATTAGTATAGTCAACAAACACGTTAGATCAATGGAGGAAATTTTTTTTTCACCCTAAAAAGAGCAAATGCTAACAAATGCTGAGATTTCCCCTTCCAGTACTGAGGGTTCACATCCAGACCACATCAGGCCACATGTGGACACAGGAGAGTGTGGGAATTTTGGACTCTATACAACCGTAGAGGAAAAAAAATGAGAAAAACTCTTAAAGTGCCAATGAGAACACTGAGCCCAGACCAAACAATAGCGGTACTTGGTATGTTCTTCTGGAACCAAGTACAGAAATATCCGATTATGCACTGGATTTGGAAGTGCGCAGAATGTCAACCCAGAAAATTCTGGAGGAAAGCAAAAGCCCGTCCATATCAGCCGTGGCCAGACCTCCATTTCTCCAAGCAATTATGTAAACCCTCCATGTCCTTCAATGAGCCCTGAGCCTGAGCTGGAAATCAGGACAGAGTATTGGATGACACTGTCCGAGACAACTTTTTCGGGAACAGTTGAGGCCACTGAAGTTTGTGCTTCCAAAAGACGGCCATCCCAAACCGCCAGCAAGCACAGCACCCTTCCCATAACCTCACGGGCAGCAGCAAAACTGCCAACTAATTTCTTCAAGACAGTTGTGAAGGCTCCTACTTACGTAATGCATACAAGGTAAGAATTATTCCAGCCAGGCAGAATCCTTCAAAGAACCTGAGGGTGCTGAACATTGTCACATTCACTGACAGTGCCACGGTTAGTCCAAAGATCAGAATGAAGATGATGGAAAACAACAGCACAGGCCGCCGGCCGACCCTGCATGTGGAGAGGGGAAAAAAATTAGGAAGCATCGTTAAACAGGGTTGCAATGCTAGATCCTGACCCCCAGTATCCAGCTGGCACTCCACAGATGTGGGATGAGTACTAGATTAAAAGGCTCTGTGGTGCCCAGACCCAATTTGGTAAATCTAGGGTAGAAAGGCCCTCTGGGGAAATTCAGCCCAAACCCTTGCTTTGTACATAAGGGCGCAGAGGTCAAAACAGCTACTGAGTAGAACTGAGACAGGTACCCAGTTCCTGTTGGCAAGTCTGTTTCTGAGGGTAGAGGGGGATGGTTCAAGGCAAGAGTAACAAAATCAATAATAACTCCCCAAACACAAACCTTGACACACCCAGCATAAAATGTCTTGAGAAATTGCTGACCTTTGGAATGGGCTCCAAAGTCAACACAAACACTGAGCCAAGTCACTTCGTTTCCTTTCTCTGGGCTGTTAACTAGTCCTACCTGACCTCCCATGCAGCCTATCAGAGTCCAGGACCTGACAGGGGCTGATCTGTTTCAGCTACATGATGGGAAATACTTTTTAAGGTATCACAGACTAAACTAAGAGAGTTTGAACTTTAACTAAGGAGCGTGGACCTGGAAGTGAAGCCCACCAGGCAGCAAGAGGCTTGGAAAGAACCTGCCTACTGTGTTTCTGCAAAGGGTTGCGCGCACACGCTAGGTTGGCGGGTTACAGAGCGGGCCTGTGCGAGATCGGTGACCACTAGGGGGCGATGTGCCTCTAGGCGTGGCTGGCAGGGCAGAGGGGGTGGTCCCAGGGAACAGGAAGTCACTAGTTCTCCATCCTTCCGGAAGTATCTTTCCATCTTTCCCTTCATCGACTCACTAGGAAAAAAAAACAACAAAAAACAAAACCCCAAACTCTCCACCACACAAATTAATATAATAAATCCCAGCTTGAACTGGAAGGATAGCTCACAGAAAAACTGGAGTAGTGGACTATCTGCAAAAGGGAAAAAAAAAAAATCTACACCTGGTACCCCAAACACCTAAAGAGTAGCTGAATTGGCTTAAACTCGTCTAGACAACCTTGTGACGTTCTTGTGACAAATGAAAACAGAAAGGAGATTTGTGGCCTAGGGCTCGGGATAAGAATGGGGAATGAGTGCAAGTGAACACAAGATTTCCGTTCAAGGTGATGGAAATGTTTTATTTTTTTATTTATTTTTTTTGATGGAAATGTTTTAAACTTAGAGTGTGGTGATGGTTCTATAACTCTGTCTACATACTAAAACTCACTGAATTACTCACTTAAAATGGGTGAGCTTTATGGTATGTAAATTATCTGTCAATAAAGCCGTTAAGAAAAAAGCAATACTTAGTAACGCATGTCCTTGTCCTGTGAAAGAAATGGATGTAATTTTGAGAAAATTTGAGGGAGGGAACTACAGATCACAGTTTCATTCGTTATTTCTTAGGCTTCTAACCATCCCCATTAGTCACATGGGTTTAGTGAGATGAACTCAATGCCAATGTGAGTCAACTCTTGTCAGAGCTTTTAAGCATTACGTCCCTTGACTGGTGCTGGGGTCATGAAGCCCTTGTCACGTACTCTGTAGGTAGTTTTATCCAAACCCAATTCACTTAAATAAATTTATAATATGGCTTAGCTGGTCTCCTGAAAACAAAGATGATATCTAACTTCTCCATTGTTATTTCCCCTTCCTTGTCTGTAAAATGGGGATAACTGTCTGACTTCACAGCATTATTGAGATCATTAAGAGAGGTGATGGATGTAGGCACAATGCCTGCCACAGAGCAAATAAAGGTTTAGCTCATGTGATTCCTTCCTACACGTCTACAGCCTGGATGCCCACCAAACATGGTTTGCCCTGTTCCGATACTTTAGAAAAGATCCTTCATTTTTTTTTTTTTTTAGCTTGTAGAAATCTAAATCTAAATCTCTCCCTCCCAAATGGTTGCTAACATCAGTAAGTAAAAATTATTTTTAGGAACTGTGGGGCAAACATGGTCTTTAGAAGCAGACACCCCGGTCTTGAATATAGGCTTGCCACTTACACACTGCAAGATCTTGGGAAAGACTAAAGTTGTTCAAACGAGCCTTGAGTTTTCTCTGGAAGGGCCAGTTAATGCCGACCGAATGGGGTTGCTGTCAGGTATGGATATGTGCAGGTGATTTAGTAAGATTTAGTTAACAAATGTTATGATCATTGGAGTTTTAGTGTGAGGTGGCTTCCCCCAGAGCAGAATCCCCTCAGAGATGACATACAAAACCACACTCCAAAATCTGTTAATGCAGAGGTGGCATCTTAAGTGGGCAGAGACAGTGGCTCTCAAGGTTGTCCATGTCCTCCTCCTCAGAACCTGTGAATATGTTACCTTTCATGGAAGAAAGGGGCTCTGCAGATGCAATTACGGTTAAAGACCTTGAGACCAGGTGATGATTCAGGTGGATCCAATCTAAGCACATGGAGAGCCTCTTCAGGCTGCAGGGAGGAGAGATGGCGGCATGAGCAGACCCGACTGTCACTGCTGGCTTTGAGGCTAGGAAAGGGGCCATGAGTCAAGGAATGTGGGCAGTCGCTGGAAGCTGGAAAAAGCGAGGAAATACAACCCTGCCTGCACCTTGATTTTAGCCTCGTGAGAACTACAGAACTGTAAGTTAATTAATTTAAGCCACCAAGTGTGTGGTGATTCATCACAGTAGTCATAGGGAAATAACACAGGGTCTCAACAGGAAACAGATGCCCCACTCAAAAAGAGTGATTTGGGAAGATTTTATTAAAGGGATTATTTGCAAAAGGCTGGGCAAGCTGTGGGAGAAACCTTGGGGTTGGCAATGGAAGGGGGAAGGATGGTCCTGGAACCCAGAGAGAGGCGTGGTGTGGAGGGGCCCGGAACGGAAGGCAGCCAGGCCCTGGCAGCCCTTCAGAGACCCAGCTGGGGACAGAAACGTCCCCCCTTACTCTCATCTCTCTCTCTTAGACCTCCAGCTGGTGTTCCCTCCCCATGGCCAGCCTCAGCCTGGAGCTAGAGGGCAAGGGGTCCTCTGGTGCAGCCTCGAAAGGCCAGGGCCAGGGCCGGCTGGAGAGGGTGCAGAGGGCTCCTGAAGGGAGAGGAGTACAATGTCCAGCAACAGAACCAATAATAGAGGGAAGGGAGCTCATCTAGCAAGAGCACGGACGGGGCTGCTCCCTCGTAAACGTCTAAGCTAACACGTTATAGGATAGTACATACTGTAGATCCCCAAACAAGATTGGGTGAAACACGGTAACCTTTTAAGGAAAAAAGTGTCCTGGGGCCCCTGGCTGGCTCAGCCGGTAGAGCATGTGACTGTCGATCTCAGGGTCGTGAGTCTGAGCCCCACGCTGGGTGTAGAGATTCATTTTAAAAAATTAAGTAAAATAAAAAAGGGTCTTACTGAAGTTTCAACATGTGCTGACTTCAGTCTTAGAAAGCTTAACCGATGACCTGACCAACTTCCCCATGAGGCCATGAAACGGGTGCTGACAGCTGTGAAGTCTGGAGTTCCTTCTAAATGTGCTTATTTCCCTTTGGGCATGGCTCGATCAGGGAGTAAACGGCCAAAAATAAATGAATAAATAAAGGGTGGAAAACACCAAACTTTCAAACTGGAACTGAAGTCCACTCAAGATGTTCAAAAACCACAGGCACAGAGCGGCCGGCCCTGCCTCTCCGGGCACCCCCTGCCAGCTCACCACGAGCAAAAGTGACTGCAGAGGTGTGCCTTGGCAACATCATCAGGCTCGGGTTACTTACGAGGAAGACTACCAAACTCCTCTGCCTTTTGTCCCCAGGCCTGGTGTGTGAGCCGGGGTGCCAAACAGCAGACACGTGCAAGAAGTAAGAAATCACGGGCAACCCCCCTGGGGTCCCTCCCCTCCTCGGGAGCTTTGTACTATCACTTAGCTGTCGCTCAATAAACCTTGCTTTGCTGCCCACCAAAAAAAAAAAAAAAAATTAAATTAAAAAAAAAAGTAAGAAATCACCAAAAAAAAAAAAAAAACAACCTTCTAAACAATTTAAGCCATTATAGACTGATCTATTCATAGAAGTCCATATTAACTTTCCTGATGATACCACTAAATAAGGACACCCAAACCTCGGTCAAGTCTGTATTTTTTAGAAAGACATGGATTCTATTGGTATATCTTCCTAACCTATTTCAGTGCAGAATACTGGGAAACAAAAGTCCTCGTGGTTAAAATATTGGGATTAGAGTATGTTTCAGATTAGTAGAGTTTGCTCTGAAAACCTATAAACTCAAGGACTGGGTTAAAAAATACCCTACACTCCCCCCACTTCCCCACTTCACCCCCTGATCCCCTGCCAAAAAAAAAAAAAAAAAAAACCCAAAAAAACCCTCCAGGGGTCCCTGGAATAGGTTTTCAGAGGTCACCGGCAGCTTTTGTTACTGCTCCCAGGGAATGTGTCCTTAAGAAGCATTTACAAATGATGATTAAGCAAATTCTGAACACACAGGAAATCACTTACTTGTGAATGCAAAGCAACTCCCAAATAGATGTTTGCTTTTAGAAAGAAATTTCCAGAACTTGAGAGTGGTTTCAGAACCCCTTTTTGGCCCCATGGCCTCCCTCCAGGCTCTTGCTGGAGTGCCTCAACCCGCTTTGTCAACTAACCAGGGAACAGGGGGCAACGCAGAGCAAAGCCACAGATGTAAGGAGTCTGCTCCACATCACTCTTGGCCCTTATGACGTCATTGGGTCCAAGATGTCCTTATTCGCAAAAAGTTCCTTTAAAGATGAAAGAACGTCAAGGTGGGAGAGGGGGGACGGCTACCCCACACCTTTCTCCCTGAGCAGCCCCGTTACTGGAAACCCCCGTCAACATCGGGAGCTTGCCTCCCTGCTCAGATGTGTGCTCCCTGCGGCCCTCGTGAACACACGGGGCTGTCACACACTCGTGAAGAGGCGGGCTCTGGAGCCACTGGGCTTCGGTTCAAATCTGGGCTCTCCAACTTAAAAGCTGAGTGAACTTGGGGATTTTACTTAGACTTCTGTGCTTCTGTTTTTCCATCGTAAACAGATACTGAATAGTACCTACCGACCAGGGGTGCTGTGAGGATGGGATATTTTAATGTGTGGAAATGTTTAGCACGGTGCCTGGCAACAATAATCAATCGGTAAGTGGTAGCTGCTAATACTGTGCTATCATCATCATTACTGTTAACTATGATTCTCTCCACTACCCCTCTCCATCTTCCTAACCTTATCACTTTATCAGCAACCACACACTTTGCTCCAGGCACTGAGAACTCCTTACCCACCCAAGTAAAGCATATTCATTCTCACCTCTGGCCACCACCCTCTCTCTGCTTGCGGTGCCCATCCGTTACCCAAATGCTGTTCACTTTCCAAGGTCCAGCTCCCCACGGGCCCTGCAGAGGTGTCTCCTGGCCAAGCCAACTATAGGATTGTGCCTCTCTGAAATCTGTGTGTGTTTTGAGGTGCCCATCGGCACAGCCCTACCCATTCAGTGCATGTGGGTAGTCTCTAGCTTCTCCTCTCCCCATCTTTCGATGCATCTTGTAGATCTACCTCCTCAGAGCCCAGCCCACAGAGCCTTGAACCTCTGCCCTCAAGCTCTTCCCAACCAAACAAGAAACATCAGGAGCAGATGGGGCTGTGGGTCACATGCAGGTGTTGCTAGATTCCAGCAGCTGGAGAATTGCAATGAATTTAAATTCTCCTTTCAAAAGGGCCGGTTATATGCCCCGGCCAGTCCTCTTAGTTCTGAATTCTCCAGGTGACGGCTTCGGCCCTCTGGGCCAACACCCACACCAGGGCAGAGAAAAGACTCGCTAACAGTGATCTAACACGGACCACTCTTCTTTAGCCAGCAAAGGCTTGCTGTGGCTTCCAAAGGTTCGTGCAGCGGGCACGTTGGTACTCACCAGTCAGCAATGCATCCAGTTATTAGGTAGCCAAAGATTAATCCAACCAGTAAGGAGAACTTAGCGATATGGACCTTCCAGGAATTATCACACACAAGATCCCACTAGAGAGGGGCAAATAGAAAATAAGTCAGAGAGAAACACATACAGAGGCCAGCTGTAGTTCATCATAAGGGTAATACAATCACTACGGTAAGGATCAGGACCCCATTCATAGCACCAAGTCACACACACCATGAAGACCTTCCTTCAGTGGGTCTGAAAAGCCAACAAGGAGAAATAGAATTTGCCCACAAAAGGCTGTGTAACATTTTAGTCCGGGACAGATTATAAACGTCTGCAAGGAGCACCCCAGGAAACGTGGGGGCGTGTGTTCTTCTGCCCCAGCTACCACAGGGACCGTGACGGAGGAGGCCGGGCTGTCCTCATGGCCAGCACCCACAGAGCTGTCGCTCGCCCGGAGGAGGGAAGACCCTGCCAACTTGCTGCACAGGGGATCGTGACACGAGGCAATTAAAAGCAACTTCTGTGTTTCCATGCCCAAGCCCCCCTCCCCACACTTTGTAAGTAGTCTTAAAAACAGTTAACAATTAATGTTGAAGTATCAACTAACAAAGCATTCTTTTTTCTTTTTCTCTTGTAAATGTCCCTTAGGTTTCCCCTGACTCCCTTCTAAAGCTACCCGCTCCACCTGGAGGGAAAGCCAATCAATTTGTGAATACAACATTTAGACTCTTTTAACAATTGTTTTATTATTTAATAAAAAAATAAAACAAGTCTCTAAGTTTGTGTCGTCCTTTTGCAGAAGCAGGAGAAGAGCCACGTTTGTTCCCTGGAAGTGATATGCATCCAAGTGGAAGACCTATGAGGACATGGCGCTCAAATCCAAAAACAGCTCACATCCGGGCTTCGGGAGCAAACCGGCAGGGTCTCGGCTGGTGACACCATGAAGACTGCAGCCCCCCACCCCACATCACCCCATCGGATGCCCTCCTTTGGGTACAAAGAAGTTGCTAAAGAACGTCAGGTCAGTGGAGATGGAGAGATGCACCACGAGGTAGGGGAGGTGGAAATGTCAGAAGTTCTGGAAGCAGAAGCAGGATTTGTTGGGGTGAAACCTGATCTTAGCTTTGTCTTACTCAATACACCCCCCTGCCCCCTTGTCTGTCCATCTTGGGCCCAAGTATCATGCAGGGGATCCTTACAGGGCATTGTAAGCTCTGGTCCTGCCCTCCATTTCCAAACTTCTGGTAAGCCGGACGGCACCTGCACCCTCCCCTCCCCTCCCCACCCGGGAGACCTTAGCTGTGGGTCTTGACTTCAGCAGGCTTTGGGAAAAGCCACGCTTCTGCACTGGCCACGGTACAGGGAAGCACCTGGCCTGGACAAAGCCGGAAGGCAGCCACCTGTCACACTGTTCCCTGGACTCCTTGGAACACACATTTGCTCACTGATGCCCCCAAGGCATGTTTGACTTTCCAGATTCCAGAGACCTGGGGAGAGTAACTTAACTCCTCTACCCATCTGCTTCCAGAGTGATGTCCAATGCCAGGCTCAGGAAGAAAGGGAGGCACAGACCGCACGGGGCCTTGTCAACAGTGGATGGTTTGGGCGTGGTTTTCGTCAAGATTTACTCATGTGTTTGGGGAGCGGGGCGCTGCTGGTTGCACAGAATCATAATTCAGATACAGGAGTTCTTCAGAGGGTGAACCTTCTCCTGTGTCTACTCCAGTGGTCCTCAAAATGTGCTCCAGCAGTGAGCAGCCCCGGCATCACCTGGGAAGATGCTGGAATTACAAATTCTTGGGCCCCACTCCAGACCCGCTGAGTGAGAACTCCCAGAGTGAAGCACAGGAATGCAGTCTGCAAGCCTTCCAGGTGATTCTGACGCGCGCTCAAGTCTGAGAACCAGTGGCCAGCCCTGTCCTGCCATTTCCCTGTCATTCTGAAGACGATGAATGAGCGTTGCAGTCCTGGGCTGGGGTTCAACCCACTCACCATGAGCAGGATGCAGCCAAACGCTGCAGGAAACATGCACAACAGTCCTGTTATTTTGTACTTCGAAGGCAGGATTGTCAGACCAGATTGTCAGTGGGCAAACCAACATTCACCTATATATCCTTTCTAGGAGTAAATATATTTTTAATAAAAAAAAAAAAAAAACCCTTTCAAGGTGCAACCCAGCTTCAGAAATGCAGGTCTTGCTTTCTCATGGGAGTTAGAGCATCATAACTGACTGCGTGTGTCTACGCTGGTTCCCCTGCTAGGTGTATATATTCTGAAGCCGTTTCTGGATCGCTTTCTCTCCTCTCTGCCCAGCACAGGACCCCGCCCACAAAGTCATCAGTTCCAAGAATAAGAGCTCCATCTCTAAGCACGCCTGGCTAATCTGAAGAAGAGGTGCTTACAACACCAACACCTGGAATCATTAATATCCCAATCACGTCACGCGGTCCTGCGCCCAGCCTGACACATTCTTGGCAGGAGAGGGACCTGATCCCCCGGTTGCTGCTGAGGAGGAGGTAACCCGCTGCTGGCTCGGGGTCAGAGAATCACTCGCTCGGGTCTCCACCCAGACTTCCACTGATGAGTTTATTTGAGGTTAAGTGATGCAAAAGAGCACATTATGCTTAGATTAGATGGCCAGGAGACAAAAGAGATTTTAATAAAAGCATTCAGGGAGATGGAGGGAAACTCTGATACTGTGGCTCACATGAGCAATGACCATACCCGACCTCGGGCAGCCACAACTCAGTTTACTTGCTACCTAATGAGACATCCCGTGGTCACCTCGACACACAACTTCTATCAATTAACAATGCTGGAGTGGAAAAAGATAAAAAACAGATGAGAGAGCCAGAACTGCTCCCACGGCCAGCGAGGAAAGGAAACGTGGCCCGAAGTGTCCGCAAGCACTGCTATTTTCAGCCTGGGGGAGGGGGCCGGGGGCCCAGGACAGGGCTGCCAGCTGGTGCCTCCACAGTGTCTCACTGCGGCACAAGAACAGACAACGTCTCTGAGTCAACAAGCAAACCAACTCTAGGCTTCCCATGATAAGGTTCCTCATGCCTGGGGATCTGTCTGTAACACCCCCCTGGGGCACATTCCAGAAGCTGGGGAGGGTGAGGCTGGGGGAATCCACCACGGCGGCATCCCTCTGTTGGACTTCGACTTCTCCTATTGACAAACACGAACTGGGAAGCCAGAGTATGTTCAGACACAGTAATAGCTCCAAAAGAATTTCAGAAGTATGAGGAAGCTTTGAGATCACCCTTGCTCTTGAAATTTGTTCGCACCACTCTTGATAAGATAGAACCGCTGCTCATTTTGCTAAGCAAGGACCAGGAGACTTAAAAATCTAAAACGTACAATGGGCTTTTTCTGGCCTTACGCTTGCCTCTCCATCCTTTGCACACCAAATCAACCACCAAATCCAGAGGATCCGCCCTTTCCGACACATCGTGCCTCCGCCCCCGCGCTCCAGCTTCACTCCGGGCAACCTGACTTACATGGACGTGGTAGGGAAGCCCTCATCATCCCCGTGCAGTGCGTGTTCCCACGGTGGGAGCTGGAAGGCTAAAACCAAACCACTTCCGGACTCCCTTCCAGCTAAGGTTTCGGATGTGATTTAGGTTCTGCCAATCAGCTGCACACCCCAAAATAACTTCCAGTGCACAACCTAGATCTAAGTTTTGGGATGGCTTGAATTAGGAAGCGTGAGCGGCGAGGGATACGTGGGACACCCACTTTGCTGTTCAGATCTGCCAGTGCTTAGTCTGGAGGTGGCTCAGCTGTCATCCTGAGCCAGCGGTTGGACAGGGACCTCCTGACTCCCTGGCCTCCTCACTGTGACACGATCCCCCAGGGCACGCTAGTTCTAGGGAGTCGTTCTGGGACACCTTCTGGAGGCCCAGCCTACAGCTGCTCCTGCAATTCAGTGAATACTGTTTCCCTGTATTCACTCCCGATCTTCTTAAATACACCTAGAGTAGTTTCTGTTATCTGCACGTTGAGCCCTAGTTCCTGACTCAACCTCCTTGGGATGGAGTTTGCAGGGTGAGAACAGGATGTAGACCATGCCGCCATCCTCTCTTCCCGAACTAATACCAGTGTCTCCATGTATTAATGCCGGCCTCCCTCAAATCCATTCCCTACAGAACAATGAAAACAATCCTCTAATTAAGCATGTTAACACTTCATCAGCAGTTTAACACAAACATAAAAGCGTTGAAGTCATGGCCCCATTTCATAATCTTAGTAAGCTTGCTCTCTTTGACATTGTTCCAAGACCAGCGACATTCTTTGGTGATGCCACAGGACACTTGCCAGCCATCACTAAACAGTGAGACAGACGACTCTAAAACCTGGTCTCTATTTTAGCTTCACATGTTCTATTTCAAAAAAAAAAAAAAAAAAGGCAAAGGTTATGGAAAATCTGGCAGACTATTTTTCTACCTGTATGTTTTAAGGACAAGCTGAAAGAAAAGAAATAAAATCACATTATTTTCAAAGGAATGATCTAACTGCTTGTCATACCAGAGTAGAAAAATACTCATCAAGGAAACTAATGAAATTTCTAAAGAAGATGCAAAATAAAGGGGACATAAGGAAAACAATCTTATTTTCAGTAATAATAAATCCTGTGATAAAGTAAATGTAAAAGAAGAACATATTGGAAGAAAACAGATCACTTGTCCAATTTTGAAGTGGGAGATGAAATCCCTAAAGATAAAAACTAACCTTACCTTTCCTTACCTAAAGAAAAAACTGATAGATTTCATAATCTAGTAAGAGTGTAACTCTTACTACTTAATTACTATTCATTTAAATTATTAAGTTATGTAAATTATTGCTTAAATGATTTATTTAACTTATTATTTGAAACTTCCATGCATTAGGGGCGCCTGGGTGGCTCAGTCAGTTAAGTGTCTGACTCTTGATTTTGGCTCAGGTCATGATCTCAGGGCCTTGAGATTGAGCCCCAAGTCAGGTTCCACACTGGACATGGAGCTTGCCTAAGAGTCTCTCTCTCTCTCCCTCCCCCCAGCTCACACACGCTCTCTCTCTCTCTCTTAAAAAACAAAACAAAAAAAACCCAAAAAAA